TCTTTATAGGAAACAAGTTTGAGTTTTTGTGGAGCTTCAGGAAGAACATTTTGAAAGTGTAGATGCTTGAAACATATGTGATTCCTTTGAGTTATTAGCCACAGTTACATTTAAGGAATAGATAAGCTCTCCTTTTTTAAATACTCCTTTATGATGTGTGATATATTTTGTATATGCAGCAGAGGCCCTGTGGCTTAGTCAGACAAGTAACCCTAACCCTAACCCACAGACATGCATTATTTACACATGCAACACTTTGTATGACCACTAAGGCCTAAAGGATGCACTGTATTTTGCAGTATTACTTTTTTCCTCATTGCATGAAAGTGTTTAAAGCATCAGAAGAGGGACCGCCAAGAGCAAATGTACACAAGACCGTGTCATATAAACACTTTCTGTGTACCTGAGGGGCTGTGGTCACAGGTAAAAGTATTTTTAGCATCTATAGCGGCAGAGGTGTTGGTCTCTTGAGGGATCTTTCGCTAAGTGGGTAAACATCTCAGCTTAACAAGGTGGGACTGAGAGCCATACCTGCGGCTTAGGATGTGGTCGGGAAAACTTCCTCTGGCAGGTCGACTGCCGGTGACAGAAAGCCATGAATGAAGGTGTGTAAGGATACGGGAAATAGAGCTCATGATGTTTTAGTTTAACCTTACCTTAATTTCTCACTGAGAAAATGGCCCTTTGCATCAGGTGAGGCATCGTTTTATTGGATAGGACATTTGCTGTTCTCAGATGGGTTTTCGATAGTTCTATTATGGTCCAGTTGGCTTCTGGACAGAGCTATATTATGCTATCCTTTCACCTTCCTCCTCTCTTCCTGTAAGCTGCTAATAGGCCCTCTCCACCTGGCTCACCTCCAGGTGACCCAGAAGAGGCCCTGTGGTCGCTTTTAGATCCATCAGGAACGTGAAAACTCGAATAAACAGATGAATTGAACAGATCCCACATAAGGGAAAAGGAAATTGGAAAATGGAAATGGAAATGTTAACGATAAAACAGGTTGATTGATGGAGGTAAAGGGGTGGAACGAGGGGCATCCCGATGACAATTGTTTCCTTCCCAAAAGCTGCTGATCTTCATGGGATTAGTTTGTGTCAGTGTGGATTAGCAAAAGCAACACTCCTCAGCAGGGGTCGTGACACGGTTAGCATCGACTGGATGCTCCTTAGACTCCCCCTGTTTCCACCTCTCCCCGTGGTGCTGAGCTGGCTCTTATTATGATGCCGGTATTGTTAATATGACATGAGCGTTTGATGCTGTTGCCCAAAGGAACTTATTTGAATCCTTTATCATTGATTGTGCGTTTGATCTGTAAAGGAATAACATGTTTGTGGCTTGTTCGAAACATCTAACCGGTGTTTGCCTTCAGCTACTTCTGGTGTTCATTTGTGTGTGGACTGGGTTTGTTCAGAGTGGTTTTATTTCATGTAGTTTCATTCTGTGTAAACCTGCTATTCCTGCACATTTGCAGATAAAAGTTATGCTTCCCTAATATTATTATTAGTATTATACTATTTGTCATTATGTGGTGGCTGAAATGTACATGGTTTAAGAGAAAAACATATTTTACTTTAATTCATTTTGGTTGGGGTTCAGCCATTTAAATTCAAAGCATGACACGCATAGACAAGTTCAAATAATTAAAGTTGATATAATACAAAAGACTTGTTTAATGCGATAAATCCCTTTTTTCAAATTGAAGATTTCTAGACGATTCTTTATGGGGTATTAATGTCCAAATGTGTTAATAGACTTTCAAAACATAATTAAGTTTCTAATTTAAAGTAAATTACTTTAATTTCAGACTTTTTTTAAACACACTTAAGCGTTAATACAGATTTTTTACAGAAAAAGCTTAAAAGTAAGAAGAGAATTATAATCACCCATGATAACTATTGGGTCATGTGGACAGGATGATATAGTAGTACTCTCACTAACTACATGAGAAATATAAGTATATGAGTAAAGATATAAGTGTTTGTAGCTGTCACCAGCAGTCTCCAGCAGCAGGACTTTGTGGTGTCCATTTAAGGAGATGGGAGACTGTGTTGGTAGGAAGAGACTTCATGAGTTAAGAGGAGACTGAGACGGGAGGCTTTGGTTGGCTCTAACAGTCTGAGAATCAAAGACTGATCTTATGTTTCAGTCTTTACCGCTCCAGACCTTTAAACTGTAGCTCGGTTTTAATGTGACATCTTCTACACGATGGTCGCTGTGTTGATTCGTTGAACAATTACGTTTTTTCCATGCCTTATATGGACTGCGTCTGTGCACCCGTCAATGACCAATTAATGAATTTCCTATGGGAATAATGCGCTGTAGGATGTTGGCAGGTCAGAGGGAACTTCTGATGTGTTGAAGCAGACTGTTGTAGATTTTATAGGGACCATTTGTGGCTGTCTGAGAAAAGGGCAAACAAGGCCCTTGTTAAAATGGTATAACATTAAAACGCTGTATGTGCCAGTTTACGAGGCACTTCTCTGACAATATATTAGTGGCTAAGAAACCATAATCCACTCTGTCTGTCTCAATTAAAATTGGTTCTAAATGTATGGAAGCTTTAGCTCGATATTTGATTGTTAAAATCTCTTCATGACATGTGTCTGATACATGCTAAATGTCTGGACTGTGGTCAAGAGAGGAGATTTTGCAGTTTTGTATTTGAAAAGAAATCCCTAAATTCATGAAAAATACAAGACTATAATTTCTAAGACATGTAGTTTACTCCTTACAAAGGATTATTTTTACTCAAGCTTAAAGACATGCAGGCCCTTGAACGCCCCAGTTGCTGGGCGACCAATATGGCATACTCTACAGAGATTTGCATCATGGGCATCACATTTTCATGTAGACGACATTTCTGATTGACATGTCAAGCATTAGTAACAGGACTACATTTCCCATCCCTTGGACAGTCCTCCATATTATTACACTGTTGCTGAGCTCAGAGACGAGCTCATTAAATGAACGTCCTTCATCACCCTGTTGGTGAATGATAGACATTTTCTGTCTGGGGGGGTTTCTGTCTGTCTCTTCATTAGGACTTGATGACAGACAAAGCTGTCTTTTTGTTTGGACCCTCACCTGCCTGTCATCCTGTGGTATGCACTCCCAGGAACATAAATGTAGGGTTTTGCTTTAATGCTGGACTAGGTGGATTTAGAAGCCGATGGGCGTGATGCTTGATTTCATATTATTTTACCCAGAGGAGTGAGCCTCTGCCTGATTTGTCCCCAGAAATATTTCCCATGTGCAGAAAGAGAATTACAGAGCTGTGGATTGGATAATAGACTCCCTCCAAGACAGGAAGTGTGGGCTGGCTGAGCAGAGAGATAGAAAGAGTGAGAAGAGATGAGAACATCCTGATTGGGAAATCACCCAACACATCATTTATCAGACCAAAAAAAACACTTTCTCCTCAAAACGCCTCACACAAACGGTGTATAGTGTGTGTATAAACTGATATAAACTGTTGTTAAGTGTGTTTGTATTAGAACTGAGTCATTTCGATTTTTTCTATGCGACGATGTCTAGCAAACAAAGCTTTTTTATTTAGTCCCAAAATACGATTTGGAGGCTGGGACATCTCTGCAGAAATACCATACATTATGCACAATGATATTTTGACATTAAGCTTTTAGAAAATTGCGATAGACTACACCATATTACCATTTGTTGAGTAATGTTGAAACAATTTACTCCATGGCTAATGTCAATGCAAACTAAAGAGATTTGTGTTTTGTATATGAAATGATTTGGATCATTTTGACTAACTCTCGGTCTTGGTCTGGACTCAGTGGACTTCTTTTACTTGGGTATTTGTCTTGTTGATGATTAAATAATCTAAGCAACATGCAATCAGACTCCAACTGTGGAGGAAGTCTTTTCTCCAGCATCACTGTACAGCTGTGGGGGAACACGTGCAGCCTGAGAGCTCTTAAATGGAGACTCTGTTAAAGAATGTCCAGTTTTTTTTTAATTGATCTGCGCTGCACGTGATGTGTAATGACATCCAGCTGGAGGTTGTTGCAGGGTAAGGCAGAATGTACAAACCCTCTGCCTATTCGCCTTTGCACTTTTTCCCAGCATCCCTTTCACTCTCAGATGGATGGGGCTATTGAACGTTTTTTTTCTCTCTTCTGAACGGTGTGTGTGGTCTTTGTAGCCTGACACTGGGACTTCTGTACCTGTGTGTGTGTCCTTTTGACTTGCTACGGGGTTGCCTTTGGCCATCCAGCAGAATTCCACAGCCTACTTCCCTTTGTTTTTTACTCTAAACTTACGTGCCATAAAATCCTGCTGTTGTGTCTGCTTCCTCACTTTAGTGTTTGCCCTCCTTTATAGACCCCTGACAGTCCCCTATGTCAACGTCCCTATAGAACCGACCCAGGGTCCTTTTCTGCACAGCTCTCTGGGACAAGGCTCGATGCTACAGTCTGTTATGTGAAGCTTGTTGTGTGCGCGTCTGGCTGCAGAAACAGCTGTTTGTCCTGGGTAGTTTTGGCATGCGCGGGTGCGGTCCTAGGGTCAAACCCCATTTCACATTGTTCTGACCCAGTGTAGTCCTGTGGTGGCCCGGTCTCAGTCGGGACGCCCGGCCTGAAAGTGTGCTAATTGCACGCTTGTGGCCAAAGGGAGGCAGCGGTGGATTTAGCCATGGATGAAAGATGGGTTTTGCTGCCGCTGCAACCCGTGATCATGGCGACCTAGAAATGGGCACATCTCTGTTTAGTGTCTAAATGGATAACTCAAATCTTTCTGGACCACAAAAGTGAGCTCTCCTGCTGAGTGAGCATTCTTATGAGTCAGCAAAAGTCCAAAAATAGAGGAAATTATCATTATCAAGGCTTGTTTGATAAACAAAGCTGTCTAACTATATTTGTGTACAACATTATTTTCTATATGGACCGAATATCTAGCAATGTGTGCTATGGAATGTGTTATGATAACCCAATGGCAAATCTAAGAACCTTTTTGTCTCTTTCCCCTCTTTGCAGTGGAACCCGCAGACCTCTTGAAGATTTTAGATTTTCACAGTTTACCCGAGGGTGTTCTAAAAACAACGGGTCTCTGCTCACATCGGAGGTCAACACAAGGACCCGATGTCGCCTACAGAGTCTCCAAAGACGCCCAGCTGAGCGCCCCCACCCAACAGCTGTATCCAGGTAAGTGTCCGACACAAATCAAAGAATGAATACGACTAATATATCGTTCTGTTTCTAAAAGCATTTATTTTTCAATCCAACCATCTCAAATCATTGTTGTACTACTTCTCCAATCATCACTGGTGAACCTTCCTTTATGGAAAGGCTAGGTTTGCTTTTACATTTTTTACTCCGCTGTCAACATGCTTTTTTCAAAACTGTATCTTTTACTGGAAACCATCTGGACAATTCTGGTAAATAACGTAATCCAGTTGCTTTGTCACACACATTCAAATGTGAACATAATTTAGGGATGGATAAAGATAATGCGCTATAATTCCCCCCTTGAAAATGTGCACTAGATGCAGGAGAAATCCAGCCCTGTAATATTCGGTGCTGTAGGAGGAGCTGATGGAAAAGCAGTGAAAAGAGGGGTGGTAGAGGGGAGGGAAGTCTAGGGTTCCACTTTTGCCTCGTTCTATTGTGCTGACGTGGCTCTGGGTTTCTGCTTTATGGAGCAGCAGAAGAACGTTCCTCTCTCTCCTCCCTCTTTTGCTCCTCTCCCTCCTCTCTTTATTTTCCCTCAGCGCCTTCATGTTTCCCTCTATCATTTCTCCTCACACTGTTTTTCTCCCTTTTGTCTGATGAGGCTCCATTTTCTGTTTGCTTTTCTTTCAATTCAAAACCATAATTCCCCAACCCCAGACAACCAACTTCTGAAATGATTGGTTGTCCAGCAGCATAAAGAAATCAAATAAAGGAGCAGTGATGTGGTCTTGATGCAGAAAAGAGGAGGAAATAATAACCTTCCTGTGAGCTAATCTCCCACAAAGTCTGTGGGGATGCTGCGTTGGCCTCAGAGGAACTTTGATCCGTGCCATGGCTCTTCTTTATGGCTTAAAATAGAGCCACGGAGCTCATGTGGCCTGCGTGTCCTATCATGCTCTCCAATCAAACACATACTGTTCACTTTGAAGCGTGGAACAGCAGAGCCCATATTGAGTCTCTGTTTAGATACACACGCTGTAATTACACTCATGCTACTCTGGATCATCTGAAATAACAGTCTGCAGAAAACAAAGCTAAGATGAGGAGTTCAGCAGGCACCAAAAAGTCTTGAGTGCAAACAGAATAACGGCGAAACAATCTACTTGTAATATCCCTCCATCGCCTCAACATTAAGAAAATGCACGGCTAATATGTTCCAGAGGGCAGCAAAACTTGTGAGATCATTTTATCCATCTGTTTTTCCCTCTTAACTTTGCACTGAGTTATGACTTTGGCCCGGAGCCTGGAGGTATAATTCGCCTAAATGATCATCCCAGCACCCTGCCTCCTAAAGGTTAGACAAATGCCACATATAGAAAACAAAGGAATGCAAACGTGCTTGTTTCGTTATGGCTATAATGTCGGTAATAAAAGCCACTGCAGCTCTGATTTGAGAACACACAGGCCCGTGACCCCCGTAACCACAGACGGTCTGTGATGATGTGCTGGAAAAGAGCAAGTGCAGACATGCAATCATTAGGCAAGCATGTGGAAGGGATGATTCATTTCAAACTACTGAGGCACTGAACACAGAGGAGTCCTTTCTTACATTTACGATGTGAAGGAGAAGTGAGGAAATGAAGCCGTCTGCCCTCACTAACTTCATAACACTCACTTCCCACGTCTCAATAGACGGTTCTCTTCTAGAAAAGCCCACTGTATATATATCTATGATAAATCACAAGTACTTTACCATAAACAAAATCTATTCTAGCTTTGAAAATTCAAGCAGGAACGTTTTTATTCATGTCATAATTAGTACATACAGATAAGTGGTTGTATGCAGTGGTTTTTATATTTTCCCTGAATGGGGTTTGGCATTCAGACTTGTGGTTTGGACTGCTGTGGTTGGATGGCAGCGGACCCTCAGTGAGGGCACTCTGCTGCCGCCTATGAGGTTCAAATGGCTTGGCACACGCTGTAAAAGCAATATTGGTGCCTGTATTTGATATCGTAGAAACTCATTGAAAACCTGGCCTAAATTTGGCTTTCTATTTAAGAGATGTTGCACAAAACCCAGAAAAATGACATGCATATAATTAGAAATTCAGTTTTTAATTACAGAAGACACAATTATAAGAATATGTTTACAATGATGGGATTCTGAATGACATTTAGATGGGGAAGATGCATGATAAAGAAAATGTTGCCTAAGCGAGATAACCAATCAATGTTTTAGTTATTGTAGCAAATGCACATCCCAGTAGTTTGCTTTGGATAATACTGTAGTATTATGCACTCGTAAAAAAAAAAGGTAATGACGTCATCAAACATGTTGAGCTTCATTCGATAACCTCAATAGAACGAAGATGTTGAGTTTACCTTTAGGTATTTTGGCCTTAAACTTGAGCGCTACCTTTCAACCACCCACGTTATGCAGGTCCCACACATCCATCTTCCTCTCTCTTTGTCCTCGTTTCTCCCTTTTTTCGCACGCAAACAGGTCCACTTGTTGTCTCTGCAGCAATGTGCAATCCCACTGGAATGCTGCGTCTCCATACAGAAGGAGAGATTTGGACACAGCGATGACTGAATGACCAATTACAGGACACACAACTTTCTACCCCATTTACCTGCCTGTATGCACACTGACAGATGGGGGAGGGGATCAGCTGTAGTGCTGCCCCTCCCTGACGTTGCAGGCGTTTTTAGAGATGATGTCAAGTTTGATAAATGAAGAAGAATCATTTAGATGTCAGAGGCCTCCAGTGTGAAATCAGGAAACCACTCCCTTTGTCTCATTTAACCTGTACAAATCTAACTCTCCATCAATGCTTAAGCTTGAGTTCTTCCTCCAAAAAAAGTCCAACGGAAATAGAAGCTAGCCGTATCAGAATTTAGACACTTTATCAAAATAAAACACAACTTTAATTGGTTACTTAATCTGGAGGAAATTGCGGGGTCATGCCTGATCGGCGGGTCGAGATGTCTGGGCTTGTGTTCTTTCCCAGGCCTTTTTAGTCCGACACTGATGATGATGATGATGATGATGATGATGATGATGATGATGATGATGATGATGATGATGATGGTGCTGCCAGGGTAAACTCTCAGGACTTCTGGCTCCACAGCCTCTCCACTAACACATACACACACTCAATGAGGAATGAAGTATCTCTCATCTGGCAGCCTGGTTGAGAGACACATTCCAGAGAAACCCGAGCTTTTTCTAACCCCCCCCCCAGCCCACTTTTCCATGAGGTCCTGAGGAGAGAGTAAAGAGGAAGGGTCACAGACACTAGACAGGATTATCTCTCTCTTCTCAACCTCTTTTTTTTTTAAAAACCCCCTTCTTTAAGCCTCCTCTTCTCAGGTGGAGGTTCTTTTAGGGAATGTCAGTCTTCCTGTGATGGCAGGGATGCCAGGACATCAATCCACAAATGAGAAACCCTGCTGTGTAAATACAACTTTAATTCAATTCACAGACAATGATGTTTACCAAAACAAATCAAAACAGCCGAAACATAATTCCATGTATCCGCCTGGGTCATTGGATACAGCATTTGATGTTTTCTTCCTTGGCCCAGACGGGCAAACAAACCAGAACAAAACAAGAGATAAACAAACTGAGTGGGAAACATGTCATCTTTGACGGATACAATAAAGTCGTGTCTCCCAATTAGTCGTTCTTCTGTCATTCCTCCCTCGACTCCCTCTATCCCATGGTGTCCCTTTCGGCCCCAGCTGACCCTTGACCTCCACAAACAGCCTGTCCTGAGCCAGCGCTGAGTCATTGCCTCCGACAGACATTTGCTCATGCAACAGGAAATAAGCGACAAACTAGTTTCTTTATTCCCCACTGTCCTTTTTCTGCATTTCAAATTAAGAATATTCTGCCTTTTTATGACTTCGGGCATCCGTCTTCACACTCCTCCATCACCGTTTTTGAAGGGTTATACGTCTCTGATCTTCTTTTTATTGTGGTCTCCCTCCCTTGATGTCTGCTTTACAGCATCCTGTCGAAGCATCTGTCAATTAAAGCAATCTTTCTCATATGATGCCAAGCTGAATTCCAAAGGGAGTACACTACCAAGGCATGTGCATGATGTGGTTTGATGCCTGACATTAACGAAGGAATCCTAACAAAAAAGGCAGGAAGACAAGGCAGTGTAATGGAAATGGTGGTATTAGAGACCGGAAGGCAAGCAGACAGATGCTGACTGAGTCAAAGACAATGAGAACTGAAAGACGAAAGTGAGCAGATGATGGAGCCAAAATGAATTTCCTTTTCCACACTTCACATTTCCACCATTGCATTCTCGCTGAAATGTATTTTTCTCCTCATCCTCTGACTGGCTAGTTATTCTAATTCAACATTTTCCAGTCTGTCTCCTATTATTCTGTAGATGGCGACAGGGTAAGGGGGTTTGATGGCTGCATGAGGTGCTACAAAACCACCAAAGCCACAAAACCCAGCCTCTCTTTTCCGGCCGCCTGGAAATCTCTGCTCTGCACGGCTAAGATCTGCGACTGGAATCACAGTGGTTTCTTTGGATTTGTTCAATATAATCCAGACAGTTGGTTTCTCTTAACAAAAGTGGAGTTAAAAGCCAGATTGCCTCAGTTTTTTTTCCAAACTTAAAGATCAGAAAGCTCTGTTTGCTTCAAGTGAATGTATGTCCTAAACACTAGCGAGCAACAGTCTCCTCGAGTGGTTGGAAAAGACCGCCCTCTTTCTGGGGCGATGAGAACACCCCACTAAGGGAATCTGTCTGGCAGATGTGCCCAACACATTAGCAAAATGGAGGAAATGGCTGAGGCTGTGCAGGGGAGACATGCAGATGGACGAAAACATGTCCTTCTCATGTGTCTTTCTGCAACTTGTATGCGTTTCATTACCAAATTACCATTGGTATTCCCATTCCCATACATTTGTGCCTAAATCGCTTTTTCCTGTACATTTTGTACTACTTTTTACTCATCTCCCCACCTTTGCTGAAGCCCCTCAGTATCTGTTAGATCGATCAGCTGTAGGAGAAGAGCGAGGCGGGAGGAGGGGTTTGAAGGATAGTTCGACCGTCTCCCAGGATCACATGCTTTTGTCATTATGCTTCTCATCCTGTGCTGGAAAGGCTCCACTCCTTCTCTTCTGCGTCTAACTTTTGTTTTTCTATCCTCTGACCAGCCTGTAGCCTGCCAGCCATCCAGTTCAGATTAATCCTGTTTTTTGGACGCTCCACAAATCGCTTGTGTTCCCTTACAGTGCTCAAAGCACATCTTCCAGATTTTTCCAATCTAAATCATCTGCTTTTTGTAATTGGGAGTAACACTAATACATTTCATACTCCCTTTTGACAACGATGAGCACAATCTGTCTCTTAAAATTACAATAGGGTTACAACAACCTGAACACAACCGTAGTATTCCATTCGACCTATGATGATGAATAGTTACTGCTACTTATAACTCTCCAAAACCTTTCTTTCCACCCCGCCGTCCCTCCTGCCAGGTGATGTGTTCCCGGAGGACTTTTCCATCTTGGCCACAGTGAAGCCTAAGAAGGGCAGCCAGTCCTTCCTGCTGTCTGTGTACAATGAGCAGGGCATCCAGCAGCTCGGGTTGGAGGTGGGCCGTTCTCCGGTGTTCCTGTACGAGGACCACACAGGCAAACCCAGCCCTGAGGACTACCCCCTCTTCAGAGGAGTCAACCTGGCTGACGGAAAGTAGGTGCACTCGTCTCCGACTTGACGAACATCAAACACAGTACTCTTTTATATTCATATTAAACCCAGCATTTTGTATTTTCTCCAAACAAAGTTCATGTGGATTTGTTAGACTTTGGTTAGGATTGTAAGCAGCACCTGGCCTTATTTCCCCTTTTATACGGATTTGTAAAATGCAATATTGTCAGTGTTTACTTGGAAAATAGTACATTTATCACCCTATACTTAATATGGATTGCATTGCCTTCAAATCTTCTCCTTGAAGGCCCAGTGTAGAATTAGTTTCGCCTATAAAACGGGATTAAAAAGGGAAACTGTAAATCCCATCCCAAAACGATTTTCAGGAGCTCAGGGTGCCTGAGAGAAGCCGAGCATCCTTCATTTGAACAAACCCCCCACAATACACCATACAAAGCCAGCAGAAAATCTGCAGAGCTCCCTTTAGCAAAGGGAAATGAGATTCAATTGCACTTCAGAAAACAGAAGGGATATATTTGAATTTGAACAAGAGGCCCAACACAAAAGGGACTCTTGACAGTGTGTGAGTGGGCAGTATGTAACCCAGTAAGTGTGTGAATGAACTTCACTTTCCTTTTCAGATGGCATCGAGTGGCCATCAGTGTGCACAAGCAGACCATCACCCTCATTCTGGACTGTAAAAAGAAGACCACCCAGAAGCTACTCCGAAGCCCCCACCCCATCATCGATACCAAGGGAATTGTAGTTTTTGGAACTAGAATACTTGATGAAGAAGTCTTCGAGGTAGGCATTATACTTTAACTCCAAATCTACATGGTTTTCATTGTTTAACTTTATAACTTATTCTATGATTGCACCATTAAGAACTTTTTGTAACATGAGTACGTTTTATTCGTACCAGATGCACACTAGTTACCACTCAACTGTGTCCATTTGGTACGTGTGTGTGTGTGTGTGTGTGTGTGTGATGATTGAATTGAATTAAGACTATGAGAAGTGATGCAATGTTTCACCTCGCTATCGGCTATTTTCAAAGGCTGTACTTAACAAGTCCATTCTCGACGATTCTCTGGCCAACTTCATTTGATTTAAAGTCGTTAAGAGAATGAGATAAAGCAAATGATGCTTTATTCTAACTCCAGTACCAACACATGTGGCTGTGGTGCAAATGATGGTCATCCCAAATCCACGTTATGCGTCTCATGGCGCACAGAAAGGGGGTTGTGGTAGTGTCCACATCCTCATCCCCCAAACTCTGCCTCCCACCCATTCACATGCACACAATCGTAAATCATATTTAATTTAAGGTGCAACATATTCCACATTTTCCACACAAAAACAAAATGTCCCTTAATCATGTTTTGTTTCCAACTGTGCTGCATTTGTGTGCACTGTGCATCTGTTGTTGAAGACGTTTTGAGTTATTTTGGCAACAAAGCACTTTAAGTCAAACATTTTAATTTCTGTTTGTGGTTTTCTGTCTGATTTTATTTCCCACTGAATTCCCTGCAACATTTTTTGTTTACAGAGGATTAAGCCAGCGATGACAGGATTTCATTATCAGAATAAGGGCTTTCCTTCTTCTTTTCCCCTCTCTTTATGTGTGCTTTGTGGCTGGAGAAGTAAGAAAAATGTTAATCTGACAGGAAGCGTTCAGGGAGTATAATACTCAGAGATAACTTATGTGCATCTCAACATGAAAAACGTAGTGCGAGAAAGAGTTAGTTTGCATAGCTTTCGTTTGGATATTTATGGCTTTCTAACATGACCCCATATGAAGGACACACACACACACACACACACACACACACACACACACACACCACACACACACACACACACACACACACACACACACACACACACACACACACACACACACACACACACACACACACACACACACACCACAACACACACAGAGAGGCACAAGGAATAGTATTGTCTTTGTCCCGTCAGTGTTGTGCTTGTTTAAAGGGGGATTAGTCTGTGAGGCTGAGGCCCTCAATAATAATTAGTAACAGAGGCTGACTGATGTGACTGATGCTGAGCCAGCTGACCTTTAACCTCCCTGCTGCACTGCGAAAACGAACAAAAAGCATGAAATATGACATCACCACCCCCAAAATCCCTAAAGTTGGTCCGCCAAGCCATAGGGGCGATTGATATATGACTGGATATAAAACTAAAACTTCACTTTGTGTTCTCTCTCAAAACTATTAATCATAGCCCTGCAAACAAAGCCAGATTGAACAAAATGACGGCATATACTGTACTGTATGTGTTTCCTTTCAGAACAGTGTTAGATGTGGTTCATGAGTGAAGCAAGGAACTCTTTTATAATGCATGGATTATGTTGGCATTCTATGGAAGATGTTGACTCTTTAATGAGATGTGTTGCATTTATCCGGAAATCCTGCCGTGATTTCATTTCTGACAGCCATCAGAACTGTGGTAACAGTCCAATAGTTACCGTGGGAACAGACATATATTTAGTGTGAGATGTTAAAAGCCCTCCTTCTGTGTGTCTGCCAGTTGGGAGACAGGACAGGCTCCAGTGCGTGCTGAAAATGGAAAATATGCCACATAGTTTCCAAATTATGCTCAGGCTCCCTTCCTCCTCTTACTCCCTTCTCCCCTCTGTAGTTGAGTCAGATCCCATGTTGACTTTTGCCAGACTCAGTTACCACCAATAAGGGGAGAGCATGAAAACACACTAAACAAAACATATAGAAATTCTCCAGGACGCCAATTAATTTAGCTGACTCAAGAGACTACAATCTCACATAATGAAAAAGGGGAAAAAACACTCTTGGATAGTACATTTTGATATGATTTCTCACACGTTTCCCTTTTTGAGTGATAAAAGTAACCATGCACAAGAAGTAAGAAAGAAATATCCCTAAAAAAAAGTAAAGGATTTAAAAGAAAAGAAAGAAGGAGGGACACTTAATCTGATATATCAAATGTAAATAGTGTGTTTTTCCGTCTTAAGTTCCTTACAGGAGTCTGGGCCTTCTCTGTACATACAGCAGTCAGGAGGCATGTAGTACTTACTGTGTGCTGAGGTGGTTTGTGGTTTGGTTCCTGCCATGGTTATTGTGGCCACAGAGAAAGCGTCTACCCGCTATAAGTACCATAATGTAATTTTTTTCTCTGTAGCTTGAATAAGAGTACTGTAGCGTGTGCCAGTAAAGACTATGAAGATAATTAAGGTGATGATTATATAAGACGACAGGTATTTTACCTGGTAAAACGCTCATCTGTTGCAAATCAAATAGTCATTACATCTTCATAATGACTGTAATGCGCATGTTAAAATCAGTCATTAAGAACCGGTATCTTTATTAAAGTTCAGCTAATGTATTTTGTGCTCTTGATGACTGTAGGGTGGATGTTGAAAGCTTGTGTGTATTTCCAGTGTATTTTCATGGCTGTTCAGAGTTTATGGTGTGCATTACACAGTCCATCTGCAGAATGTGTCCCATGATATCTGTGTTGCTTCCCCCCGAGTGTGCCAAGAGAAATCTGAGATAATTTACTGCCAATCCCTCGGTTCTAAGTAGCATTCAGTGAAATAAATGACTGTGACTGGTTTGAGGGAACACAAACGGGGGCAGATGGAGCACTTGGCCTCACTCGGGGGGGACCACAGGGGACCTGGAGTGAATCGAGGTTGCCGAGGTGGAGCTGTGCAAACACAGCACTTCTTGTCCGGCCTCCATTGTTGCAACCAGAGCAGAGCTAAAGTATCTGAGTCCAGTATGAATGTGGGCAGGGCTGGGAAATATGGTAATAATCACGATAATTCTGTCAAATACGATATTGTAATGGTTTCCAGTGATGCTTTTCACAAGTGTTTGATAAATAATCAGCAGTAATATGGCAGCTGGAACAGTCAGATTGCGCTTCTATTGGCTAGCGCTCCAACACATTGTACTTGATAGGCTAAGGGGCGTGACATCTCTGAGCTGTTGACCAATCACAACAGAGCCGGCCAGCTAACCAATCAGAGCAGACTGGGCTCTGGTTTCAGACAGAGGGTGAAAAGAGGTGCTGCAGCACAGGCAGTACGAGACAAATAAAGAGCTTTTTGAACATTAAAGCCTGGAGACATGTCCCAGTAGAGACACCACATACTGATATGAACCTGAAAATGAGCAGAATTTGTCCTCATTAAAAACTGAAAAAAACACTAATGTAGTTTTACCCTATATATCCAAATACTGATTTATTATCAATATATTGCCCAACCCTTAATGTGCGGTCATATAGTGTAGTTTTTGTCAGAGAATTTGGCAAATGATAGAGTTTGGATCAGAGAGGATGAGAAGAACATGATGTTCAGGACAGGGTGAATGTGGAGGAGCGGGGAAGCTGGAGCAGCAGGTTCCGGAAGGGGAGCCAAACGTTTTGGGTCATACTCTGGAAAGAATGAGGAGCTCTCTCCACACTGATGTCAGTGTTGGAACAGAAACCGTACCGCATGACATCACCTAGAGGTTTCCTTGGTATCCGCTGATAGGCTGATGGTCTGAACAAGGGGGGGAGGTAAGGGTGGGGGTGGGTGCATGTATGTTGGTTTGGTCGTGGTCATTCGGGGAGGATAGTTAGGAAAGTATGATGCGTTTCAGAAAGCATGGATGGAAGATGGAATGAGTGGGGGTGTTCAAGGCTGTATGATAAGAGTAATGGCTGAGGGGCCTTTAACAGGGCTGCGATGAAGCGAGTTGTGTGGCTCCCATAATGCAACCTGAGCCAGGAAAAAGTAGTAAACATGCGCTAGATGCTCGTTAAGAGTTTAATACTGTGATGGCATGATGAGTTTTACACATCCTGTTTCCTCGTCTTCACCTCAGGACTTTAGTTCCTATGTTCCTGCCGTTCACTCAGCGTCTCTTATTTACAGTTTACATGTTTCAGTCGTGTAAGGTTTACATGTTTTCAACTGGAGATGCTCTCTTGATTCACATCTTGACTGTTTGTAAGGAAGTTAACAGCACTTTCCATATTTCCAGAAGATTTTACAAATTCAGAAACCCATTTGAGCCCATTTTGGCCCAGTTCTGAGGTCGTGGTTAAATCGGTTTTATTGATGTTTCAAGGTCTTGAATAGGCATCTGTTTTATTTTATTTTTTAGCTACACTTAATAGCTTTACTAACGTTTTAAAATCAGTGAACAAATGTGCCTGGCCTCCTTCATGTTAGGGATACGGTTAGGGTTAGCAACAGTAACTATTGAATCGTTAAAAGATGGGTTATGTTTCTCTCATACAGCTCCTTAAGAGGAGACCTGGATATTTGATGCCATGCTTTGGTCTCATTATAAAATAAAGGGGTATTTAGGACCTGTTACCATGAAGCACTAACAATTATCTCGGTACATTATATCTGATCCCAAGCAGACAGTCCTGACAAGCATTTTTTAGGGTTAGGGTTAACATTACAATCTTGATGTTGGTCGTATTTACTGCAGAACTGTTAGTTTTACTTAGGCATGCCTAATAAACCTGCAAGTTTATTTTGCCGCAGTTTTAAGTGCAAATGTGTATGTTTTTTCTGTCAAACTGCAGTTTCCCCACAGTCAGTCAGTGGAGAATCTGCGAACTTCAGTCTTTCCAAGCTCGGTCTAGACCAGGCCCCCCGAAAAAAAAAAGTCGGGCCCCCCCCAACACAAATAGTCACGTAATGGGCCAAGTTAACATTTATTAAAAATACATCAATATGAACGTGAGCATTCCTTTCAAAAAAATAAATAAAGTGATAATAAAACAATGCTCCA